AAAGTTCGCCCTTCTAAGATGTATTTGAAATGTTTTACTGCTGTATAGATGGCTAAGAGTTCTCTGTCGTGGGCACTATATTTTTGTTGTGCTGATGTCAAATTTCGGGAAAAGAAACTTAAGGGTTGTTTTGCATTATTCACAATCTGATGTAAAACGGCTCCAATGGCAGTATCGGAAGCATCAGTTGTTAGCGATATTTCAGCCTTTTCGAATGGGTGAGTTAAGTTTGTGGCATGAATAAGTGCATCTTTTAAGATCTGGAAGGTGTTTCTTGTTTCTCCCGTCCAGGTTATTTCTTTTCTGCAGTTCTTTTTAATACCACTGAGCAATGTTGTTAAAGGTTGTTGCAATTTCGCACAATTTGGTATGAATCTGTGATAAAAATTCACCATACCTAAAAATCGTCTTAAATTAGTAAATGACTTTGGTTCTGGGAAATTTTTGATGGCATCAACTTTCGTTGAGAGAGGTTTAAGTCCTTCAGCTGACACTTCGTATCCCAGGAATGCAAGTTTTGTTTGACCAAATTTACACTTTGCCGCATTAATACACAGGCCATATTCGTTTAGTCTCTCGAGGACTGCTCGTAGATGTTTTTGGTGAGTTTCTTCATCTGGAGAGGCTATTAAAATGTCATCCAAATAGCAAAACACGAATTCTAGTCCATTCAAACACACTGTTCATGAAACGTTGGAACGTTTGGCCGCATTTCGTAGGCCGAACGTCATGAATGGGAACTCGAATAAGCCAAAGGAAGTGAGAATGGCCGTTTTCGGTATATCTTCTTCTCGCGAACCAGGAATTGGTTGGTACGCTCTAATGAGGTCTATGGATGAGAAAACTTTTTTCCAGCTAAAATGGAACTGCAATCTGTTAAAAATGGGAGAGGGTATCTATCAGGAATCGTGACGTTGTTTAACGCTCGATAGTCTCCACAAGGTCTCCAATCACCTGATTTCTTCATAGCGAGATGTAAGTGAGCTCGACCAGTTACTTTTGGATGGCCTGCATAAACCCATTTTGGAGCATAAATTCAAACTCCTTTTTAGCCGCTTTAAGTTTCTCAGCTGATAGTCTCCTAGCTTTAGCGAAAACTGGTGGACCTCTGATTTCGATATAATGTTCGATGTTATGATTTTTAACTTTATTATTAACTACATTCAGTTTTAACAAATCCGGAAAATCGTTAATGATACGTTTATATGGATCATTTACGGCATTTAAAATCGGAATATTATTATTGTTATTTTGAAAACAAGGAGTTCCATTGGTTGTTAAGAATGTAGTACCATCAATCAACTTGCGATTTTTAGAATCTACCAAAAGGTTAAAATTTGCAAGAAAATCCATGCCTATTATCGGTTTGTTTACGTCCGCAATTACAAAAGGCCATGTGAATGATCGTCTGAGTCCAAGATCAAGCTTGAGTAATTTTTGGCCATATGTTTTAATTTTCGTATCATTTGCAGCAAAGAGTTCTAATTTTGAGATTTTTTTTATTTGCAGGCAAGGGGGGAATGACAGAAATTTCTACCCCAGTATCTATTAAAAATTGGGTAGCCGATTCTTTGTCGTTGATGAAAAGACGACTCAGCTGCACCCCTTGTCCCTCCGTCGTCAATGAGAGACGGGGAGCTGGTTTTCCGGACTATTTGTCTGTTATGTTGATGAGTTGATGAGCAGGGTTGTTTACACTTAAATGACTTATCACCGAATTTTTTATGATAGTAACAAATATCACTAGATCTGTTACCACTGTAACTCCTATCTCGTGATTTGGAAAGGTTACGACAATAGGGACGACTGTGGCGTTGCTTGTTTAAAGCAGAAACTTGTAAGCTAAGTTCACTAACCTGTTTTTGTAAACTTTCAATCACTTCCGTTTTTACCGTTATGGATGATGGCAGCAGCTATTTGGGGAGTAACAGGGTTTAATTCCCAAATCTTATCGGCCATTGTAGCCACTTTTGACAAATCTTCACCTACTAACAGATATAATGCTACGCATATTAACGGGTAAACGTTGTAGCCACAATGTTTTTAGGAAAGTATCTGTTACTTTATCGCCACCCAAATTACGCATCTCACACAGTAATTGAGATGGCTTTTTGTCACCCAGTTCTAACTCACTCAGTAATTTTCGGGTTTTTTGAGTCTCTGAATCAGCATATAATGAAATTACTCTATTTTTAATTGCCTCATATTTATTATCTTGTGTTGGACTTAGCAAAATATCAGATACCTGTGACAAAATATCGGGTTCAATGGAACTTATAACATAATCATATTTTGTTTGATCTGCACTAATTTTTGCATTTCTAAATTGTGCTTCTAGTTGAATAAACCACATTTTAGGATCTGGCTTCCATAAAGGAGAAACGTTAACGCTTACCTTGGCGACAGATGCAGTTGTTGCTTTAAGTTCGGTTTCGTCTTCGTCAGCCATTGTAGAATTCAATCACGCCGGGATACACCAGTGAAGTGTCTGGTGTGCAAATATAGAAAAATAACACTTCTCTGACTCCTATGGAACCAATATTTTATTCCTTACGATGTTATAGATTCTTATTCATAAGATTTATTTACATTTTACATGCACGTAGCATCGCGTGACAAAAACTCGAAGTTTGTTTACTTCGTTCTTCGCGAAGACTAGAAGGTGTTGCCATTCCTCTTTAACTAAATTTCATTAGAAACTTAACGGAACTGAAGCGACACTACAATGGCTAGACTTCAAAGGAATTGGAATTTAAACTAAGTAGAAACTAACCAAACGTTGCGAAGATATACCGTATTTACGCGAATCTAATGCGCATCGTTTTTGGCCAAATGTAGTACTCAAAATTGGGGTGCGCATTAGATTCGATGGCGCATTAGATTCGAGTGCAAAGTTCGGCGTTGACGTCAACCAAATTTAAATCATAACAATGGATTACTGTATTTCTCGACTCATTTACCGTAACATTTATTGTTCGACACATTATTGATAGACGATACAAACTCAGAGTACGAAGTCACGAAATGGAGGGCAAGCAGAGAAGAATGTCATATGACGCTACTTTCAAACATAAAGTAATTCTTTATCCGAAAGAAATGGCAATAGAAAGGCTGGGAGAGAGTTAAACGTAGCTGAGAGCAATGTTCGCTTGTGGCGGCAGCAGAAATTGGCACTGTTTGCAATTAAAACTAGTAGAAAGAAATTCGCTGGCCCTCGCAAAGGAAGACACCCTAAAATTGAAGAAAAGGTTTTGGAATTTGTACGTGAAAGGAGGAAGAATGGACAACTTGTGACTAGCGACATTATAAAATAAAGCAAAGAGGAGGCTGAAGTTCTTGGAATACCGAAACCTGAGTTTAAAGCTAGCCGTGGATGGGTGGATCGGTTTATGAAGCGGATGGGCTTATCTCTAAGACGCCGTACGAACAACTATGCCAAAAGCTTCCTGCAGATTTTGAGGGAAAACTACTAACATTTTAGCGGTATGTCATCACACTTCAGAAGGAAAAAGAATTTTTCAATGGGGCAAATTGAATCGCTGGACGAGACGCCAATTTGGTTTGATATGCCTCGTAACTACACCATTACGGAGAAGGGGACTAAAAATGTTATCATCAAAATAGTGAATAAAAACGTTTACTATTAATCACTGATTGTAGAAAGTAGATAGAAAATGGGGGTTCTGCATCAGGAGGGTCAGAGGGTCAGGGGGCGTGGTCAATGACGTCACACAGAGGGCGGGACCAAAGGCAACGTCATCACACTAGGAGGCGTGGTCACGAGTGGAGTTGAGGTGTTGGTAGACTGCTGGTTGAGTTGTAGACCTCCTGCTTTTCATTTAAAGTTAGTTTTTTTTAAATTGGCAACGGGGTCATGGCGCCCTCTAGGGATAAAAAAGAAAATAATTTATTTAGGAATTGCTTATGGCGTCCTCTAGAGACGAAAAAAGAAAATAATCTATTTTAGAAGTTTTTTTTTTTTTAAATGTTCTATGATTCAAAATATAGGATCGAACCCTGAAACAAAATATCTCACCAGCTGAGTAGTTTGAAGATTTTAACCACTAAGCTGACGGGATACATTCAGATTTAGGTAAAAAAGCCTATATAAGAAAATGGAATTTGAATCAGCTCATCAATTGCAATTATGCCTGCCCAGGAGAAGCGTTGCACCGTTTTACGGTGTTTTATACACTGTTTTGTGTGTTATTTTATCATCCATCTATATTTTTACAGAATTTCATAAAATTCCTATTGATTTTACGCTACGTCTTAACGACAGTGGGAACTTATCATTATCCATATGAAGAATAATTCAATAGGTTATGAATATGAATTTATCGTATCAGGATCCGGCTCATGTTGCAAGTTTTGGTGGTGTTGAAGCTTTACATCGTGCTGCAGGAGGTAAAGTTTCCAGGAAAGAGATTCAAACATGGTTAGAGGGAATAGATGCGTACACGCTTCACAAGCCAATTCGCCGAAAATTTCCAACGAATAGAGTAATCGTGTATTCTATAGATCAACAATGGCAAGCTGATTTAGTGGATGTTTCACATTTACGTGATCATAATGATGGTTATCGATATATATTAACCTGTATTGACATATTATCCAAATATGCATGGGCTATTCCTCTGAAACAAAAGAGAGGAGAAGATATTGTGAAAGCGTTTCAAAAAATAATGAGTCAACGTAAACCAAAATTCCTTCAAACGGATCAGGGCACCGAATTTAAAAATAAAGTGTTTATAAAATTTTTAAAAAGAAATCAAGTTAAACTTTTCAGTACATTCAATACTACTAAAGCATCCGTGGTGGAAAGGTTTAATCGCACTTTGAAAACAAAAATGTGGAAATACTTTACGACTCGAAATACATATAAATATGTAGATGTCTTGGACAAATTAATAGAAAGTTATAATGCTACTTTTCATTCAAGTATAAATGCGAGCTCCCATAGAAGTCAATTCAGAAAATGAGAGTGACGTATGGTTTACCTTGTATAAAGATCATCCTTCTAACGTTTCTAAATGTATATTCGCTGTAGGAGATGTGGTACGTGTTTCCAAACTAAAGCTTACTTTCGAAAAAGGCTATGAAACCAATTGGACGGAAGAACTATTTGTGGTGACAGAGTGTGTTAAAAGACATCCAGCTGTGTATAGAATTAAAGATTTACTTGGAGACTCAGTAAAAGGAACGTTTTATGCACAAGAGTTGCAGAAAGTGAGACTGAAAGAGGAATATCGCATTGAAAAAATTTTAAAGAAACGTATGCGTAAGAAACAGACAGAATACTTTGTAAAATATCGCGGTTATCCCGACAAATTCAATCAATGGATTCCAGCTTCTAATTTACTCTCGATATAAAGTGTGAGAAAATACTGTATCCGAATCATTTATGAAAATGAGTTTCTACGTAACACTTCCGAGCGATAGCTCTATGAATTATTTCCCCGAAAATAAAATTTCACATTTTATAACACGTTTACCTGTTCCCATTGAATTAAAAGGTATGTGGGAAGTTGGTTTGGTTGAATTGCTATATCCGCACACATGGCACAATGTGAATGCAGACAATAACTTAATTGGATTTGTTTTAGAGAAAGATGGTGAAATGTTAGGTCGTAGATTACCTCCAGGATGTTATGAAACAGTACCTGATATTTTAAAAGCTATTTATATTAAAGAACATCAAAACAAAATAATATTTAATTATAACCCAGTAACAAAACGAGTGAAAATCAAAGTGAAAAATAACGCTAAAGTGATTTTACATGATGGGTTAGCACAAATGTTAGGTTTTGAACCTATGGAAATTACATCTACAGATGATAGTTCCGAAACTGTTGTAGAAAGTCCTTTTGCAGCCGACCCCTGTGCACATTATCGTGTATTAATGATATATACGGATATTGTAGAACCTCAAATCGTAGGAGATGTTTTAGCTCCTCTTCTTCGAATTGTAAGAGTAACTGGTAGCGATGGAGAAGTGGTGAGTGCACTATTTGATAGACCTCATTATTTACCTGTGAATCGGAAAATGATAGACACTTTGGAAATCGATATAAGAACGCATATGGGAGCATTTACGCCATTTGAACGAGGAAGGTCATACGTGAAACTTCATTTCCGTCAAAAATACTTGTCATAATGTATGTACCTTATCAGTGTTGTCAAAAATCTTTTGAAGATTATTATGTACAACAAACAGGACATGGATTGAATTATTATCAAGGTAATCTTTATCAGAGAGGATACGGATTAGGGGGTCTATTCAGATCCTTCTTTCGCGCTGCCGTACCTCTTATTAAATCAGGAGCCAAAGCAATTGGAAAACAAGTATGGCATAGTGGACTGAATTTGTTAAATGATGTATCACAAGGACAAGATGTAAAAGAGGCTGCTAAGCGTCGACTGAAAGAAGCCGGAAATATATTAACGGATAAAGCTGCTACTAAAGTGAAGAATATGATTGGTTCTGGACGAGTTAATAAAAAGCAGAAACGTAGGAAAAAGCGTACCATTTCTCACCGATCAAAGAAGGTGAAAGCACAGGATATTTTCTCTTAAAAAAAAAAAAAAAAAAAAAAGTATGACTTCGTATATTCATCGAGACTCTCCCGTTTGCGTCAAATCTGAATTAGATTTATTTACCATTCCTCCTACGCAAACAGCTATAGAAAAAGGACAGTTTGTGGAATATCACCCTCTCGCAAATATACGAGATGGAGGACCTATCGAATTTAATATTTCTGGCAGTGGTGAAGACTATATTGATCTAGCTGCTTCTTATATACACGTGAAAGTTAAAGTAGTTAAGGCAGACGGATCCAGTTTAACAGACAAAGAACCGGTTGCCCCTGTAAATTTATTTTTACATTTCTCTCTTTTCACAAAGTTTTCGCAAGTAGATGTAAGTTTAAATGAAAGAAACATTTCATCTGCGACAAATACCTATCCTTATAGAGCCTTCATCGAAACATTATTGAATTATGGGGAAGATGCAAAGAAAAGTTTACTCACCTGCGAAGGATTTTTCCAAGACACTTCACCTAATAAAATAGATGTCTTAGCTCAAGATGCGGATGCAGGGACTAAAAGCTCGCGGTGAACTTATAAAAAACAGTCAAAGTGTGGATTTGATAGGACAATTACATTGTGACATTTTTTTCAACAAAATCGACTCATGTTAAATTTAGTTGATGTGAAAATTAAAATGGTGCGTAGTAAATCTGCTTTCTGTCTAGTTTCTACTGAGAAAGATGCCGATTATAAAGTGATCTTGGATCATGCTTCTTTGTTTATCAGAAAAGTAAAAGTAAACCCTGGAGTCTCTCTCGGACATGTAAAAGCGTTGGAAAAAAGTTCTGCTAAATACCCTATAGATCGAGTATTATGCAAAACATATTCAGTATCTAAGGGAAGTTGGTCTTTTATGCAAGATAATGTATTTTTAGGATTGATGCCCAAGCGAGTCATTATTACTTGTGTAGAAAATGCTGCAATGAATGGACAATATTCAATGAATCCCTTTTCTGTTTGCCCATCATCATGTCAACTTTATATCGATTTATGTAGATGGACAACCCGTTCCATGTAAACCAATGGACCTTGATTTCGAATCTAATCATTATGTGCGTGCTTACCACAGTTTATTTTCTGGATTTAATCGCGACAAAGGCATCTATTTATCTCGAGAAGAATTTGTGAAAGGACATGTGTTATATGCTTTCGATTTAACTCCAGATATGTGTGATGGATCTCATTTTAACTTACAGCATCAAGGGCAATTTGCGAGTAGAAATTAAATTTGCTAAAGCTCTCTCTGTGACTCTCTCGGTGCTAGTCTATGCAGAATTTCAAAACGTGATTGAAATAACAAAATCTCGTCATGTACTATTTTTGCGATTTTGCTAATTAAGCAATGGACAGCCTTGAAATAAACAGAGCACTCTCTCAGAATGCAAAGACACGAAAAGCATTTCTGGGAGTTTTTGCAAGTGATCGACTCCCTATCGAGATCAAGAAATATCCAAGTTGCTTTATAGCTAATGTAGATCGTGCATCTGAATCCGGTAGTCACTGGTTAGCCTTTTACATTTCATCTCCACAGCATTTAGAATTTTTCGATTCCTATGGACATGACCCATCCTATTTTCCTGGACCGATAACCAAGTATGCAGAACGATTTCCACAGATGGACTTTAATTCGATGACTCTCCAAACTAATGTAACAGCAGTATGTGGTCAATATTGCATATACTATTTACATTGTAAATGTCGTGGACAATCTCTCAATGATATATTGTTATCTTTCATACCTCAACATATATCTAATGATATTAAAGTATATAATTTTGTAATCAAGAAATTTCATGTAAGATCTTCTTTCTATCAATAAATACATTTAAACTTTATACATTATGTGTCTTGTCTCATTTAATATGGAATTTCCAAAGCTACAACATCCTTTCACAATGGTGATTTCGGGACCCACTGGATGTGGGAAAACCTATTTTGTACGAGAACTGTTAAAGTATAAAGAGGAAATGTTTTCAACGATTCCCGATAAAGTAGTATGGTGTTATGGAATTTACCAACCTCTGTATAATGATACCGAATGTTACTTTTGTCGAAGGTTTACCAATTAAATATCAAGAATATTTAGGTTCCAACACATTATTCATCATAGACGATTTGATGAGCGAGTGTGGGAATGATAAACGTCTGACTAACTTATTTACAAAAGGAAGTCATCATTTAAATTTAAGCGTTATTTTTATCACACAAAACTTTTTTTCACAAGGGAAAAGAAATGCGTGAAGTGACTTTAAATGCACACTATTTGATTTTGTGTAAAAACAGAAGAGATGTCAGTCAAATCGTACATTTAGGAAAACAGCTCTTTCCGCGTCATTTAAAGTTTTTTCAAGAAGTATATGAAGATGCAACCAAGAAACCTTTTTCTTATTTATTCATTGATCTGCGCAGTGAAACTCCGGAAGAATTACGTTTACGCACCCAAATTTTACCTAACCAAGTACAGTATGTTTATCAAATGAAACATTATTAAAAAATAATAAAAACAACAGCTTTATAAAATGCATCATCATTTTTATAAAATGACGCTGGTCAAGAAACAGCTAAGACAGTTACAGCTGTTAAACATTTGTCCGTTAAAGTTACGGAAACAGCTATTAAAGAAAATTAATATCAATTGCATAAAAGCTATATGCGAATGTAGTTTAAACATACTCAAAGGAAACGTTCCATTGTCAGACCAACAAAAGAAGTCTCTCTGTAAGCATAAAACAACTTTACGAAAATTAGGAAATCGTAAGATTTCTCTTGTGAAGAAACGAAAATTAATTTTACAAAAAGGAGGTTTTCTAAACGTTTTGATTCCTGCTGCTCTCAGTGTTCTTACAGGACTAATCAATGGAGTTCACTAAGAAATATGTGTTAGTTCCAGAAGAGATGATGACAAAGCATACCATTTCTGATAAACAGTTAAGTGAATTGGATAAAGCCATGATGCATATTTTAAACAGTTCAGTTGACGATCGTGAGAAATTAGTGCGTTATTATGAACTTTTACAAAAGAAATTGAACTTAAAGGAATACAATTCACCCTTTAAACCTCCTAAAGACGACTCACAAAATTCTTTAGACGATTTCAGCTGAGATGAAGAAAGTGAAAGAGGAAGAAGCCCCCTCATCTGTGACAGACGGCGACAAACAGATGACTGTAACTGATTATTCTACTGTTATCTTAGACAGTGTACCTTTACGAATGAGAAGAAAAGCACAAAATGCATTAGCTATTTTAAAGCGACATCCTGATATTCTTAAGTGGAATGATAAAGGCGAGGTACTTTATCATAAGGAAAAAATTAAAGCATTCACTTGTTTAATATTATAGACTTATTCAATATCCTTTTTACAACCAAAAAGAAAAAGATTAATATTCCTGCTAAAAGCGAATTTTTAAAAGCCTTGACTGAAATCAACATGCCAATGGACTATATCAAAAATGAAAATTTACAGAATCATGATGTTAATATGAAAAAAAAAAAGTATTGCATGTTAAATCTGTAAAACATATACGTTCTCCACGAAAATGGGAACCTTATTAAATGAATAAAATTATTATTTTTACATATAGACTTTTTTCTTCTCTCTACAATCAATATTTGTTTTTACATCGTTTTTAAATGTTATGAAAAACATTCATTTCACAAGAAGCTTTTACCTTTCAATACATTTATTTTCAAAAGATAAATTTCTGTATTATACATAAAATATACTTGGAATTTTCTTTCATTAGTTAATATCAAATTAACAGCAATATCCATTTACTGACATTTGATATACACGTTTGCTTTAAAATTAAAACTAAAATTTCAATATATTTCTATTAAAAAAAACATAAGGAAAAAAAAAAAAATACTCATAACATCAACCAAACACAGAAATTTAAATAGAATAGCTGTACTTATATTAAGTGCATTTTTATAATCTTCATAACATTTCGATTCAAAAAACCTATCACAAAATAAATGAAACATTTTTTTCTGCCTTAAAGAATCTCTTATATTTTTTTAAAATTAATACATAAAAATATATCTTCACCAATATATAATTCATCCTCAACACTTATCGTAATACATTCTTGTCTTGTCTTGTTTGGGAAGGACAGTCTATAAGGCGTCATTATATTATTGCGTTATCATGGTAAGATAGGTTAATGGAAAACTCTGATAATCACTGAAAACTTATTTGAAAGAGTTGTTATTCTTAAGTTTGACATTACTTATACATATATGCATAAGGGTAATCTTAAAAGCATCATCCACTTATCATGATAGAGTAATGGAAAATTTCTAAAACTCTGATAATCATATGTGAAAGAATGTATTATCTTAAGGTTGTTGTTGCTATTCCAAGTTTGACAATACATACAGAAGTGAAGGAAGATCCTTGATAAGCGTTGTAGACTTCACGTTATGATAAGGGTTAATGGAAGTTGAAATCGTATTCGAAAGAAAGGGTTATCATAATGTTGTTGTTGTCCTGGTTCAGATTATACAAATCTGAAATGTTTCGAGAACATTCTTTAATCCCTATAAAAGGTGTTTCAGAAATGGAAAAAGTCAGTTCTCTTCTCAACCTTGAAAAGAGCAAGTCTTCCTGATAATTTGATTCACAGAGCTTAATATTTTTTTGCGATGGCTTTTGAACAAGATCACCAATCTGTTTCTTCCAACGTAAGTATTAGAACTGTTATATATTATTTTAATTATTATTTTTTTTCCAGACTAGATGAACTTTTTAAAATGAATTATAATCAATCTATTTTTAATGCATGATTTATATGTTTGCTTCAAGTATGATTTGAATTAAATAGCCTGCTTTTTACATAGTTTAGAGT